ACAGACAGACAGACAGACAGACAGACAGACAGACAGACAGACAGACAGACAGACACACCGAAATATTCGCTCTTATAACCTTATGCAGTTGCTAGCGCTGTAAAACCTCTACTAAAAAAAAGACCGAAATAACAGAGGGAAAGTAAAGGAGTAGGACCTACCAGTGTGTGTGTGTGTGAGTGTGTGTGTGTGTGTGTTTGTTTGAGTAAAGAGAAGCAATAATGGTCATTGAGATCAGGGGAAAAGTCAGACAGACAGACAGAACAATGGGGAAGTAAAAGAAGAAGGACCTACCATTGACACCCTCCAACCACCCACCCAGGCAGACAGAAACAACAGAGTGAAAGTAAAGAAGTAGGACCTACCAGTGACACCCTCCAACCACCCACCCACACAGACAGACAGAAACAACAATGGGGAAGTAAAAGAAGAAGGACCCACCAGTGACACCCTCCAACCACCCACAGGATCGACAGCATTCGTTACAGTATGGAGAAAGTTTTACGGCGCTTGCAACTGCATACGGCGTGCGGACAAAATAAGCTACTTCTGGCCTTCCGCGAATGAAAATAATGTCGTCGTTTAACAGAAACAGGGGTCATATTAAAAATTGTAGATTTTCAACTGATATCATTCTCTTTTTAAGTACATCTTTTCTTTTATCATTTCATATTGGTATATTGTACAAGGAGTTTATTCCCTCCTACCTTTTCAGTTTTAGTTTAGTTTTAGTAAGAGTTTTACGACACTTTCAACACAATAAGGTCATATAAGTGCCGAAGATTAGAGGTGTTACAAGAGAGTAACAAACACAAAAAAGAAGGAGGGGAGAGATAAGGACGATAGATGTTTGATAGGAAAGAAGGAGCAAACCACACCAGAGCACCCGCCAACCACCCACACAAATATCAATTCCAAAAATATATTATACATATATAAAAGCCACAATAAACAATTATTTATACAAAGACGGACTCTTCACTTGATGTGGTTTAAATATCGCTTAAGATTAAATTCCACATGGTATAATATGACAGCGAAATATGCATTATAGAAAACCAAAAAGAGAGACCAAAAAACAAAACAAAAAACAATCATTTTTTTAACCTCGGCAACCTCAGCTAGAGTTCATAGAAAAAACAGCAATAGAAACATGGAGAGAGGCTCATGGTTCTCGAAATAAAACACAAACCAAAGCACACAAAAAAAATTAATATTTTTAAAAATTAAAAAAGAAGAAACCATTCAATATAGCGCATGTCCCATCCCAAAAGTAAAACCAAATACAGCTGAAATAACTGTTTGTAGTAGTAGTAGTAGTAGTAGTATGAAGTACGGCTGTGGTCAGGCTAGTCGCCTATCAGCCGTTCGTTGCTTTCGTTGCTTGTTCCTTCCTGCAAGTTGTTTTCACACTCTGGTATCTGTAGGTTAGTGCTCATGTAGAATGCGGATTTGGTCAATCATGGCTTTGCGTCATAGCAAGTTCTATATTTAGTAACATAGTGAGTGGCACACAAGCGCCGATTGGCAGACACATTTATTGTGTATCACACGCTTTGTAATATGGGACATTTGGCATCGGGTTCTATATTGCTCAATACAATAAGATATTATCTTGATTGATAGAACCCGATGAGTTCTCTGTCTCTGTCTCTGTCTGTGTGTCTGTGTGTCTGCCTGTCTGTGTGTCTGTCTCTTTGTCTCTCTTTCATTCTCTCGACCCCTCTATCTTTCTCTCTCTCTCTCTCTCTCTCTCT